ATAAAATGGGCTAGAATTTTACCCTGTAGAAATCTACTGAAATGGAATCCTCTAACCAGTCAATATCATGTTGTTCTTGTTGTTAAGTGCCATCAAGTCAGTTTCAACCCATAGCAACCCTGTATAGGGTTTCCGAGGAGCAGCTGGTGAGCTTGAACCACCGACCTTGCAGTTCAAATGGCTTTGCAGTCTGACGCATTAACCCACAGCGCCACACCAGAACTAGAAGGCAATTAAACCAGTCAAAACTGGCCACATAGCAGGTTCACTTTTAGGTACACAACATTCCTTTCCTTTTAAAAAACCAATTAACAATCTTAAGAAAACACATCTAGAACTGGAGTCCTAGTGTGGCGCTGTGAGTTAAAGCACTGGACTGCAAAGTCAATTTGAACTTCAAGGTTGGTGGTTCAAACTCACCAGTTGCTCCTTGGAAACCCTATACAGGGTCGCTGTGCGTCAGAACTGACTCAACAGAATTTAACAACAACAGGTATGAACCTAGAATTGGATAAGTTTTTGCCTGTTGTTAAGTGCCGTCGAGTCAATTCTGACCCATAGCAATGCTATATAGGGTTTCCAAGGAGCTACTGGTGAGCTTGAACCACCAACCTTGTAGTTCAAATGGGTTTGCAATCTGGCACATTAATCCACAGCGCCACATTGTTGTTAAGTGATGTCAAGTTGATTCCGACCCATACCGACCCTGTATAGGGTTTCTGAGGAGTAGCTGGTGAGCTTGAACCACCGACTTTGCAGTTCAAACAGCTTTGCAGTCAGGTGCATTAACCCACATCATCACACCAGGCTCCCAGAATTGGATCTAGACATGGATAAACTGTGGCTGTTTTCCTAGTGAGCTACAACTCATCTATTCCACTTTGTATCAAAGGATGCCAAAAAGTTCTGTACAGTGAATTAATCTTTGCTCTGAATGAATACGGTCACTAAGCAGACATAACGCTGCTATCTTTTTCATAGTTTGAAAGTGGACCATTCACGAGACACTGATTTGTTCAAGAGCTGACGTTCAACACATCTAACTTGATAATAATACGAGCATCATTGGATCAGGGTATTCAGAGTATACCAGAAATCCAACAAAATAACTCGATGGAATAAAATTCCATTTCAGGTTTTAATTCACTTTTTAGCCAAGTTTTTTTTTTATTTGTTTTGAATTTTCTTCCACCCTTTCATTTTTTCTTATTTCCTGATTTTGGCCTTTTTTTTTTTTAAGGCTTGATTTTACTATTTTTATTGTAAATCACCTCAGATATTTGTTTGGAAACAGGTGGGCTGTAAATCATGCAATAATTTTTAAGTGGAAAAAAATTAGCTGGGCATGAAAACCATATGCTGAGTTAGCATTGTAAAAGTAGAAGTATAGCAAATGAATTTAATGAGGCTCAAAATAGTAGTTTCCCACTTTATAGTATCGTTTTATGAAAAGTCACTCAAATCTACAAATTCAAGCAGCCTATCATAATAGGTGGAGTTCTAGCGTGGCGCTGTGGGTTAAAGTGCTAGGCTGCAAAGTCGGTTTGAACCACTAGGTTGGCAGTTCAAACTCACCAGCCACGCCTCGGAAACCCTACACAGGGTCGCTGTGTGTTGAAACCAACTCAACGGCACTCAACAACAACAAGAAGCATAATAGAGTGTTAATAATAGTCCTTGTGTGGCACTGTAGGATAAGTACCAGACTGCTAACCACACGGTTGACAGTTCAAACCCACCAGCTGCTCCTTGGAAATACTATATAGGGTTGCTATGAGTCAAAACTGACAAAACGGCACTTAACAACAACAAATCATAATAGGTAAGAGTCCTGGTGTGGCACTGTAGGATAAGTACCAGACTGCTAGCCACAGATGGACAGTTCAAACCCACCAGCCACTCCTCGGAGACCCTATCCAGGGTTGTTATGAGTCAGAACTAACTCGATAGCACTTAACAGCAACAAAAACACATCATAAAAGATTTCTTAATTTTGAGGTATATATTATAGTGAAATAATGTGTGCTTTATGACATATACTATATGACCTCTAAAACCATACAGGTCATTAAATCAAACATAATTTAATGACCTGTATGGTCCAAGATCATGACCTACTTTGCATGCTAAGACCCTGTTTGATTTAGTGGTGAAGCATTAAAAAAGTGGTACTAGAGAAAAATATTACATAAACTTTGATATAGGATGGCATTTTTCATACACTCGTTGGAGATATCTGAGAACAAAGGTAGAATGTGCCAAGTCTTCAGAGTTTACAGTCATCTGATGAGAACCTGTTTCATATTTGTATTTCTAAGAAGCTACTTTTATGAGTTCTGAACCTCTGCACAGAAATCTCTGAACACATTTATGATATCCCTGGTGGCCTTGATTATTTTACCTGCCTTACCTGAAGGCCTACACGTTATGACAAAGAAAGCCAGGCAGACGCACATGCCAGATAAGGATTCTGAAGACATCCTAGAAACCTGTCCTTGCCACACCTCCCAACCCCTTGATTCCCTTGGAGTCTCCTTGCGTGATAGGTGGCCACACTGCAAGAAATGTTTCACTCAAATTGCTTCAGCTTCCTAATACAGCACTTCATCTATTTTTACACTTTCCCTGTTTGTTTTTGAAGCGACGATGCTACCACACATTGGCTTCCTTGTGTGCCTCCTAGATTGTGGTGGTGGTATTTTACACCACTGGATTTTGGGGGTAAATGGCACCTGACTACTGCTCTTTCTGCCACTTCTCCTGAGTGAGGCAGGTGAAAGCCGTGAGCGATGCAAAAATTCCTTTTATTTTCAGTAAATAAAAGGAATTTTTTATTTTGTGGTTTTTAATCTACTGGTTTTACCTATTTTTATCTAGTGGTTTTACCTCTAGAATGCCGCCGTCTTTCTTTCCTTGGGAAGCCCATTGCATTCGTTTGGAACTCACTTAGAGGACATATCGTCCTTCGTATTTCTCTGACCCCGTGTTATCCCTTGATGGCAGGACCTTGACAGGTTACCCAGTATATTTCAAGCTCACCAGCTGCTCCTCGGAAACCTTATACAGGGCTGCTATGGGTTGGAACCAACTCCACGGCAACAACAAACATTTCTCTAGCACTTAGCACAGGACTGCTGCTGTTGTGAAATCCTATCAAGTCAGCTGCGACTTACAGCGAGCCTGTATCACCCAAGTGATGGCTGGTGGGTTTGAACCTCCAACCTTGAGGTTAGCAGTCCAGTGTTTTTCCTACAGTTCCCCAACAGGCAGGACTGTAGCCCAGGAGTAGGCGCATAATAAGTCGTAACGGCGGCTGGAGGATGGGAACTCTATAGAGGTATATAAGATGCTTGCAGCATGTTTTTCTCTGCATGTAGAAGATGCTATTCCAGATCGTTGTGGAACCTAATGTTGCTAATGACATGTCTGTGTCAGCCTGCTTCACTTCCCTTTGGAAGTTGTGTTTTCTTTTAGGAAGCGATCTGTATCTGTATTTCCTTTCATTCTTGATTTTCTTCCGTGAACCTAGCAGGGTAGACTTTTTTCTTTTTCCATTTATTCAACGAAGTACTCAGTGACAACTTTGGAATCTGACAAGCCTTTTTTCTGTTTGTAAAATGGTCAGCCAGTCTGCCTCCCTGTTCTAGTCTTTCCTTGTGGAGTTCTTATTAGATACACATTGGAATTTCTGGATTTATCAGCCATTTCACTTAGTATTGCTTTTATGTTGTGGTTGTTAAGTGCCGTTGAGTTGTTTCTGACTCACAGCGACCCTATACAGGGTTTCCGAGGAATGGCTGGTGGGTTTGAACCACCAACCTTACGGCTCAAACTGCCTTTGCAGTCTAGCGCATTAACCTGCAGCATTTATTCATCTCTTTGTGTCACAGAAAGTCCTGGTGATGCCATGATGGTAGAGCTTGGCTGTTCATCCAAAGGTTCAAACCTACTAGTCACCTTGTGGGTGAAAGATGCAGCAATCTACTTCCATATAGGTTTATAGCCTGGGAAACCCTGTGGGGCAGCTCTGCTCTGTCCTATGGGGTCACTCCGAGTCAGGCTAGACACTGTGGGTTTGATTTTTTATTGTTGGGGTGTGTGTGTGTGTGATCTTATCAGAGAATTCCTCACTCAGTCTTTCCCATCACTAACTCTCTTTCAGTTGTATCTAATCTTCCACTCAACCCATTTATTAAAGTCTTCCCAAAGATTATATATTTCTTTTTGAAGATCTTTACTCGATTCTCTTGGGTATGGTTTCTTCTTTGGCTCTTCGGAATAGTTCTCTTCGGCTTGTCTTGTTAATTTCATTCCCTTGGTTGTTCCTTGGAGACCCCGTACAGGGTCGCTATGAGTCGGAAGTGACTCGATGGTACTTAACAACAACAAGCTCTCTGTTTTCTCAAGCTTGTCCTGTCTTTCATGGGTTGGTCTTCCTCAGATTCTTGGGCAACTCTTGTTGTGAACTCTGAGTATGAGAATTCAGTGCACGTCTTGGGCAGTGTGGGCCTCCCACCAGAGCATCCTTCCGGTTGTGTGCGGGGCAGCCCTGGCTGAGTTCATGACCAACCAACTCTGTTTACAGTTCTTGCCTGGCTTCTGGTTGTCATAGCTTAGCATAGGGATTCCTGTCTAACCCCCTTCCCTTTCCAGAGATGCCTCTCCGTTTCTGATTCATTGAGTTCCCTTTCCTTGTTTTCAAGAATGGATGTGGATTACTTTATATTTGATATTGTTCTAATCACTACATTGGTTGGGTTATGGGGGTGGGTGGGTGGAGATTTTATTATGTGCTTAACCTGCCAACTAGAACACAGAAGCGCAAGAAAGAGGTTCTGATCGTTACGTGAATATCTGCAAGTCACCCACAAATCTACGAAGATGATCAGGTCCTGGCATTGTATTTTGGGAGTTTGGGAGGGGAAAAATCTTTTTCAGAAAGTGCCTGTTTTAAACACCAACTCACCCGGATGCCTGCTTTTGAGGGAGTGGGTTGTTACCTGTGGTGCTGAGGCCGGTGTACTCGGGGGATGGGTTGCTGACAGGGGACGAGGGAGCTGGCACTTCCACAGAGGTGGCTGATTTTGCTGGAGAAAACGATGGCACTGGTGAAGGGGTAGGTGGGGCCGCCTCTGTCAAGACGATCTCTTCTCGAACTTCTGCTATGGAGACAGAAGGGTGGGTTCTTACCGTCAAACTTCAAGACCAGTTGTCTTCACCCAGCGTCACTGAGGAAAGTCCAAGTCACAGTGACAACATCGGACCAGAGTAGAACTGCCCCCTATGGGTTCCAAGGCTGTAACTCTTTATGGAAGGACACTGCCACTGCGTCCTACCATGGGGTGGCTGGTGGGCTCAAATTGCCAACCTTTGATTATCAGCCTTATCCACTGCCCCACCAGGGCTCCTAAGCTGTCTTTAAAACCCACCCCACGGCCCTCCAATCGATTCCAACTCACGCGGCCCTCTACAAGGTAGAACGGCTCCATAGGGTTTCTAAGGCTATAAAACTGTTGGAGCAGAAAGTCTCATCTCTCTCCCATGGGTAGCTGGTAGGTTTGAACTGCCAATCTTGTGGTTAGCAGCCTAATGCTTAATCCACTGTGCCACCGAAATTGTCTTTAGCAGACTTTTAAAAGGCAATATTCTTGCTAATGTCTGCCATGAGACTTCCCTGCTTAAAAAGCAATTCCTACACACAAAGAAGGCCACTCCAAAAGGCGAAACAACATGACTGGCTTCGTACCATTGGGTCAACTCACCATAAGTCAGTTCTTGGAGATACAGAGTTAGAGAAGCACAGAGCACAGAAGAAAGGGTACAAATGACACAATCAAGTTGCAACTCCCAAGCAAACGCTGGCTTACCTGTGCTTCCCTCTCCCTTCATGGCTCGCATGAGCTCGTTGGCCCTCTCCTGACAGTGCAGGGATTCCAATAGGTAGAGGACATAGTCATCAAACATCAAATGGATCAGGTGAAAAGACCCTGTTGTGAAAGAGGATCCAGACAGAAAGGTAAGCTGTGTCATCTCATGGAGGCCCCGTCCACCTGGCCAACAGCACATGGTACACTGCGCACGAGAGACAGTCTGTGCAAGGGCCGAGCTGCCCTCTCAGTAATGAGCTCCTCACGGTCAAAGCCTGCTCTCCATTGCCTCATCCTCAGGCCAGCTCATTAGTGCTTAGCATAACTTAAGTGGCTTTCACAGTTTGTGGCCAACAAATCTTTTTCCTGCTCGTTATTAATGACATGCCATCAAAATTGGCACCCACTGAGCCATCTGTTCAAATGCTTTTGAGCTCTTACATATCCACATGGGATTGGCCTCATCATTTAAGTCAAATACTTCCCTCAGCATTACCCAAGCCTTGGTATTTTCAATAGCTTCATATGCATGTGAAAGTTGGGCAATGAATAAAGAAGACCATAAAAAAATTGATGTATTTGAGTTATGGTGTTGGAGAAGACTTTTAAAGGAACCATGGACTTCCAGAAGAGCGAAAAAAGTCTATGTTGGAAGAAGTACAACCAGAATGCTCCTCAGAAGCCAAGATGGCCAGACTTTATCTCTTATGCTTTGGACATATTATCAAGAGGGACCAGCCTTTGGAGAAGGACATCATGCTTGGTAAAGTAGAGGGACAGACAAAAGGGAGACACCTCCCCCCCCCCACAACTAAAAGGATTGGCCTAGTGGCAGCAATAATGGGTTCAAGTGTAGCAGCAATTGTGAGGATGGCATGGGGACCGAGCAGTGTTTCGTTCTGTGGTACGTAGGGTCGCTGTGAATCCAAACTGACTTGACGATATTTAACAACAACCACAACTGGTAGGGAGAGGAATGTAATTGAATACATCTGTGGGAAGAAACAGTGAAGAACTTCAGTATCATCAGCCAAAACAAGGCAGGGGCAGACTGTGGAACAGATCATCAATTATTCACATGCAAGTTCAAGCTGAGGTTGAAGAAAATTAAAACAAGTCCATGGGAGACAAACTATAACCTTAAGTATATCCCACCTGAAGTTAGAGACCATCTAAAGAACAGATTTGATACATTAGATACTAATTACCAAGCACCAAAAGAGTTGTGGGATGACATCAAGAGCATCACACATGAAGAAAGAACGAGGTCATTAAAAAGACAGGAAAAGGAAGCAAAGACCAAAGTGAGTATTAGACGAGACTATGAAATGTGCTCTTGAGCAAAAAGAAGCTAAAGTGACGAGAAGAAATGATGAAGTAAAAGAGCTGAACAGAAAAGTTCAAAAGGCAGCTCGAGAAGACAAGGTAAACTATTATAATAACATGTGCAAAGATCTGGAGTTAGAAAACCAAAAGGCAAGAACATGCTCAGCATTTCTCATGCTAAAAGAACCGGGGGAAAAAACCTCAGCTTGCAATAGTGAAGGATTCTATGAGCAAGATCAGTTTGAACCACAAGGTCGACAGTTCAAACTCACCAGCTGATCCTCGGAAACCCTCTACAGGGTCAGTAAAAGTCAAAATGGACTCAACAGCACTTAACAATAACAACAGGCAAAATATTGAACAACACTGGACACATCAAAAGAAGATGGAAGGAACATGCAGAGTCACTGTACCAAAAGGAACTGGTTGATGCCCTATCATTTCAAGAGGTATGGAAAGAAGAACTTCAAGCTGCACTGAAAGCCTTGGTGAACAACAAGGCTCCAGGAATTGATGGAATGCAAATGAAATGGCTTGACAAACTGATGCAACACTGGAGGTGCTCACTCATCTATGCCAAGAAATATGGAAGGTCCATATCTGTGCCCATTCCAAAGAAAGGCGACCCAACAGAATGCATTGAACAACATCATTAATACCACATTTAAGTAAAAGTTTGCTGAAGATAATCAAAAACAATTGTAGCAGTATATCGGCAGGGAGCTGCAGAAATTCAAGTTGGATTCAGAGAAGGACATAGAATGAGGAATATCATTGTTGGTGTTAGATGGTTCTTGGCTGAAAGCAAAGAATACCAGAAAGATGTTTATTTGTGCTTTATTGACTATGCAAAAACATTCAACTGTGTGGATCATAATAAACTATGGATAACATTGTGAATAATGATATTCCAGAACACTTCACTGTGCTCATGAGGAACCTGTACATGGACCATGAGGCAGTCGTTCGAACAGAACAAGGAGAGACCGACTGGTTTAAAGTACATCAGGCTTTCTTTCACTTATTCTATCTGTATGCGGAGAATAACCTGAACAGCTGGACTATATGACGACATGGTATGGACTTGCCTTTCTAGTTCACTGGCATCTACCAATGCACTGATATAATTCTAGGGGTGGAACTGAAATTTTAAATTTGCAGCAACTGAAATATTTCTCTAAATGTTTCTGAGATCTTGTTTAGCACAAGGTTCTTAGAAAAGGTATTAGAATGAAAGGATTTGATCTTTTCAAGTGAGACTTTTCACTTTCAACTTAGATTATTCCATAAAAAAGGGTATGTAAACAGTTACTTTTGAGAGCTATTCCTATGTGCCAGCCTTTGTGCTCAAAGTCTTATGAGTTAATTTAATCTCCATGACCACCCTGTCAGGTGGGGATTTTATTCCTGTTTCTCAGGTTAGGTACTTGTACAAGGTGACCCATCTTTCTTGTATGGCTATGCTGCCATCCATGGACAGTGAAATGGGTCCACAGGAAGGGTTCAATTAATGTCTGCTGTGATCTAGGTCCCTTGGGTGCCAGAGTCTGAGAAAGGTGCATCCTGCATCCCCAATCTCATGTTTCTATCTCTATGCAGATAATCCTGCTGTCCCATGAAATGTTCAGAACTTCTCACCTACCTCCTCACAAGCTGACCTCCGTTCTCACTTCCCTCTAGTTTGCTTTTCTATGACCTTATGAGACTCTGGTATTATTTTTCTTTTGATTCCGTCATCATCATCACCATTACATCCTCACCATCATCATCACTGTTGTCACAACAACCACTTCCTTCCTGTTTACTACGTACCAAGAGCTCTTCTAAGCACTGAACATACTCATCTCACCCTTATAACAATCTGTGATGTTATTGCTCTTAAGTGCCGTCGGGTCGGTTCCGACTCACAGTGGCCCTGTATAGGGTTTCTGAGGAGCAGCTGGTGGGTTTGAACCACCAACCTTGCAGTTCAAAGTGACCTAGCGGTTCAGTGCTTATCCTACAGCACACCACACCGGGATATAGGTGGCAGTCTTTGCTCTTACATTTGAGAAAACTAATTTCGTCATGGATAACTGAGCAGGGATTTGCCTCTGATTGGTCACAAACACTGTTTCCATGCCCCAGCTGATCATCTATCCAACTTTCTCATAACATATGGGAAACTGAGGCCCAGATGCCATGAGTGACTTGGTTCCTGGAAAGGCCATTTGAATTGAAAGCTATGACTCTCCACGTTTCAGAAATAAGATGGCAGGGGCTAGTTGGGGACTTTTAGAGGATTATTCTTTGGTGGAATTTATCCATTTGCTCTTTCTGAGATGCATCTGGTTTCTGAGTTTGCCTACCATTCTGTACACCATTACCTCCTTCATCGCAGGTAGATTAATTAGTATGGTCTAGGAAGGCTATTTGCATTAGGTAAATCTGCTGCACAAGACCTTTTTAAAGTGTTGAAGAGCAAAGATGTCAGCTTGAGGACTAAGGTTCAACTGACCCAAGCTATGGTATTTTCAATAACCTCATATGTATGCAAAAGCTGGACAGTGAATAAGGAAGATCATAGAAGAATTGATGCTTTTGAGTTATGGTGTTAGAGAAGAATAATTAAAGTGCCATGGGCTGCCAAAAGAACCAACAGGTCTGTGTTGTAAGAAGTGCAGCCAGAGTGCTCCTTGGAGGCCAACATGGCCTAACTTTGTCTCTCATACTTCAGACATATTGTCAGGAGGGACCAGTTGCTGGAGAAGGATATCATGTTTGGTAAGGTGGAGGGTCAGAGAAAAAGAGGAAGACCCCCAGCGAGATGGATTGGCCAAGTGGCAGCATCAATGGGCTCAAGTGTGGCAATACTTGTGAGGTTGGCCGAGGACTGGGCAGTGTTTCATTCTGTTGTACGTAGAGTCGTTACCGACTCTATGGCACCTAACAACAATAGCAACAACAGGAAGGCTGTGAAGGAAAAATGATAGTGTAGCGGTTACGGAGTCAGGTTGCTAATCTGAAGGTCAGCAGTTCGAAACTACCAGCTGTTCCACGGGAGAAAGATGAGGCTTTCTCTTTCTGCTCCTGTAAAGATGTACAGCCTTGGAAATCCTATGCTGGGTCTCTATGAGGCAGAACCAACTCCACGGCACACCACCATCACCACCAGTAAGACTAAGGAGGAAGACCTTTCACTTCCCTGAGGGCGCTGGATGCCCGGGAGGTCATGTCCATCTCCCCTCAAGTCCCCTGTGCATGGAGCCTGCCACAGCCTCCAAATCCTGTGTGTACAGGGCCCAGGCCAAGGTCTTCCATCGTTTCACTTCACTCCATGTTTCTCTTCCCTCCATCTTTCAAGCTTATTTGGAATTCAGCGAGGTTCAGGTTCCGAGCTTTCCACCCACCTCCCACCCAGGGGCCCTGACAAGCGCTGGGGAAGCACAGTGTTGTGAGTAGTTGGCTGGGCTCTGGCTTAGGCGACCCAGGTAGAGATCCCAGCTCACATAACTGGAACCTTATACAAGTTACTTTACCTCCTTAATCCTGTAAATCTTTCAAACAAAACCATACATTGAGTCCTTGCTCAGTGACAGCCACCAAACCAACCACTACAGGGTTATTATCATATTTAATCTGTATCACAGCCATACGACATGAATGATACCGTTGTTTTAACAGATGAAGAAACTGAGGCCTTGAGAAGTAAAGTAACTGTCCAATGTCATGCAGTTATTAAGTCACAGAACCAGGACTGAGACCAAGACTGTATGATTATTAAGTTGATCCTTGATCATACAGGCTCCCTAACA